CGGGAAGCCTGCTTCTCCCTCTCCCACTCCCCCTGCTTGTGTTCCCTCTCTCGCTGTCTCTCTCTGTCAAATAAGTAAATAAAATCTTTAAAAAATAGTAGAAAAATAAAAATAAAATCTTAAAAATAAAGAAATAAAAGTCTATGGTTTATGATTATAGCAATTCTAAACAAAAATCTCAAACATCTCCAATTGTTCTTAACCTGTATTTATTTTACCACTATTTTTTTTTTAAGATTTTATTTATTCATTTGAGACACAAAGATAGAGAGAGACAAACAGAGCATGAGTGGGGGAGAGACAGAGGGAGAGGGAGAAGCAGGCTTCCCGCCTAGCAGGGAGCCCGATGCGGGGCTGGATCCCAGGTCCCTGGGATCATAACCTGAGCCAAAGGCAGATGCTTAACGACTGAGCCACTCAGGCGCCCTCTACAATAAGAATTAAAAATAGAAATTAGGGGTACCTGGGTGGCTCAGTCAGCTGGGCGTCTGCCTTCATGATCTAGGGGTCCTGGGATGGAGCCCCGCCATCTGGCTTTCTGCTCCGCAGGGAGTCTGCTTCTCTCCCCCTCTGCCCCTCCCCCCAACTCATGTTCTCTCTCTCAAATAAATAAAATCTTTAAAAAAATAAACAGGGTGCCTGGGAGGCTCAGTAGGTTAAGCATCTGCCTTAGCTCGGGTCATGATCCCAGGGTCCTAGGATCGAGTCCCGCATCAGGCTCCCCACTCACTGGGAAGTCTGCTTCTCCCTCTACCCCTCACCCCTGCTCATGATCTCTCTCTCTCTCACACTCTCTATAATAAAATCCTTAAAAACCAATCAATAAAAATAAAAACAGGAATTAAATTTTGGACAGGATGCAGAGAAACTGTAACCCTTGTATACTGCTAGTGGAAATGTAAAATGGAACAGCCAGTACGGAAAACAGTATAGCTACCTCAAAAAAAAAAATACTATCTCATTCAGCAATTCCACTTCTGAGTATATACAAAAAAAAAAAAAAACTGAAAGTGGGGTGTCAGTGAGGTATTTGTATACCCATGTTTATAGCGCTATTATACCCAATAGCTAAAAAGTGAAAGCAACCCAAGTTTCTACCAAGAGATAAATGGATAAGCAAAATGTAGCATATACATAAGAGGCTGAGTAATACTCTGGTTTTTTTTATTTTTAAGTTTTGTGTTTTTTTTAAAGATTTTATTTATTTATTTGACAGAGAGAGACACAGCGAGAGCAGGATCACAAGCAGGGGGAGAGGGAGAGGGAGAAACAGGCTTCCCGCGGAGCAGGGAACCCGATGCGGGGCTCGATCCCAGGACCCTGGGATCATGACCTGAGCCAAAGGCAGACACCCAATGACTGAGCCACCCAGGTGCCCCTATTTTTTAGTTTTTATGTGGGGCTTGAACTCACAACCCTGAGATCAAGAGTCACATGTTCCACCAACTGAGCCAGCCAGGCACCCCTATTATTCAGCCTTAAGAAGGAAGAAAATTTGGGCGCCTGGGTGGCTCAGTTGGTTAAGCATATGCCTTCAGCTCAGATCATGATTCCAAGGTCCTGGGATCAAGTCCTGCATCGGGCTCCCTGCTCCTTGGGAGCCTGCTTCTCCCTCTGCACACCCCCCCGCCCCCGCAGCTCTCATGAATAAATAAAATCTTTAAAAAAAAAAAAGGGAAGAAATTTTTTTTTTTTTTTTTAGTAGGCTCTACACCTAACATGGGGCTTGAACTCATGACTTGGAGATCCACAGGCTGAACCAGCCAGGTGTCCCAAAAAAGAAGAAAATTCTGACACATGCTACATATGGATGAACCAGGAGCATTATGCTAAGTAAAATAAGCCAGTCACAAAAGGACAAATACTCCATGACTCTACTTATATGAGTTACGAACAACAGTCAAATTCAAAGATTTATTTATGAGAGAGAGAAAGAGCACGAGTGAGAGTGAGCATTGAGGAAGGGTAGAGGAGAGGGAGAGAGTCTCAAGCAGATACCACACTGAGTACGACCCTTAGGATCCTGACTTAAGCCGAAACCAAGTTTCGTACACTTAACCAACTGTGCCCCCAGGCGCCCCTACAATAAGTCAAATTCATAGTCAAGGAGCACCTGGGTGGCACAGTCGGTTAGGTGTCCAGCTCTTGGTTTTGGCTCAGGTTGTGATCTCAGGACCCTAAGATTCAGGTTCTGCACTCAATGCGGAGTCTGCTTGGGATTCTCTCTCTCCTCTCCCTGTGCCCCCCTTGTACCCCCCCCATTGTCTCTCTCTCAAATAAATAAATCTTAGGGGAACCTGTGTGGCTCAAGTCAGTTAAGCATCTGCCTTCAGTTGGTGACCCGAAGGTGCTGGGATCGAGCCCCACATCGGGCTCTCTGCTCAGTGGGGAGCCTGCTTCTCCCTCTCCACTCTGCCCTTCCCCTGCTTGTGCTCTTTCTCTTTCAAATAAATAAATAAAATCTATTAAAAACAAATTAAATAAATAAATCTTTTTAAAAATTCATAGTCAAATCTGAAAGTGGTCACCAGGGGCTGAGAGTTGGAGGGACTGGGAAGTTCTGCTTAATGGTTTTGAAATTTCTGGGAAGATAAAAAGTTCTAAAGAAAGATGGTAGTGCTGATCACAAAACCATCTGAATGTACTTAATTCCAGAGAAATGTACACTTTAAAGCTGTTAAAAGAGCAAATTTTATTTTGTATATTTTACTTCAATTTTTAAAAACAATGCAGCAATGCCTTAAAAGTTTCATTTCCAAGCCCAAATTCTACACTCGGCAAAAATACCAAGTGGGACAACTAGCTGGCTCAATCAGTAGAGCATGTGACTCTTGATCTTGGGGCTATGGGTTCCAGCCCCACAATGAGTGCAGTAATTACTTAAAAATAAAACCTAGGGGTGCATGGGTGGTTCAGTCAGTTAAACATCTGCCTTCGGGGTCATGCTCCTGGGGTCCCGGGGTCAAGCCCCTCACAGGGCTCCCTGCTCAGCAGGGAGTCTGCTTCTCCCT